ACGGGACTGCCGTTGAGGACTGGGTGAGTTAGCCAATGTGAGACACACGGATCTGTGCCTGGCACGTAGTAAGCATTCAGAAAAACTCAACTATTTTTAGTTCTACCATTATTACATCACAGGCTTATTCTGAGGATTAACTGTGATTATGCCACTAAAGCACTTAGGACAGTAGAGTCTGTCCCCTTCTCTTTGATCTCTGTGGTGAAAAAAAGAGATCTATCCAGACTCTAGCCAAGAGGATTCAGGACTCTCAATATAGGAAGCCACAGCTAAACTATGTCTAAAATCCATTTTGTTATATAAATTCCAAGCACATGGTCTGGTACCAAAAAGTACTTAATATTTACTTTATGGAACAGAGTCTCTTGCATACTACTTATCACACAAGTGATTTCACAGAATAGGAAACATTTTCCCACGAGAAACTCTGACTTTTGGCATTAGGGATTAATTCAGGTTCGAAGATTCACAGTTTATTAAATTGTGCTGTTGTCCACATAGATGCCGCACATATAGCTCCCTTCACTGGATGGTGAATTCTAGCCTCCTCAACAGGACATACTGAGTAGACATGAAGAAGCAAGCATTAGAAGAGTTTTATTTTTCATGAATTGCTCTGCCTTTATAACTCAGCTCTGTTGTTTAAAGCTTCCACTCTTTGAGTGAGCCGGCCCTTCTCAACTGCATGAAGACGGGAAGTACTTGTGATACAGATAATGGGGAAGATACGAGAGAAGAAATTTATTCACGTATGTACTCTGTGAAGACACTACACATTTCACTTAATAACTGCCTTTTAAGTCACTGCTGTTCCTCCCAGTTGAGGGAGAAGGAAGTCTGCCTACACAAGAAAACTGGAGAGTCTGCAGATATCTTCCAGATTTGGAGACCACTGCTGCTGTCAGTAATTACATCCTTTGGAATGTAAGTAAGTCAGGTGTTTTAAAGGACTCATAATATCCAACTTTGGGGGCGCCTGGGTGACTCAGTGGGTTAAAGCCTCTGCCTTCAGCTCAGGTCATGATCCCAGTGTCCTGGGATCAGGCCCCGCATCGGGCTCTCTGCTCAGCAGGGAGCCTGCTTCCTCCTCTCTCTCTCTGCCTTCCTCTCTGACTACTTGTGATCTCTGTCAAATAAATAAATAAAAATCTTAAAAAAAAAAAAAAATCCAACTTTGGCTTGTCCTGAGCAAGAAGACCCACTTACTGCAAAGTAAAAAAGACTGGTCCTGGGAAAAGCACTACCTAAAAATGAGAAGACTGAAAACAGAGAAACTCTAGAAAGCAAAGAAGGCAAAACATAATACCGGTAATTAACAAAGAAGTCATAATGCCCACATGCTGGGCACACAACATTGTTTTCAATGCTTTCACACAGAAATGACAACTATTCCCTAGAACTCGCGTGGAGCTGGAGGCAGACGGTTCACTGGGCTCTCTAAATTCAATTGCTTTCACAAGTTCTATATCCCAGATTAATCAGAAAAGCAACACTCCACAATGTTAAGAATGCTGTATTACTCTAAGTGCTCTAAGACAAGGGAGTTCTAACCTAGGCAAATATTCTGGAACTTTACAGTTTCAGGGTTGTCTATTACTCCTCGGGCATATCATACACATAATACTTACTAATGTCCAACTCAGAAAAAAGGAACTTTAGGAACAAAATGCCTAGTAGAGAGGTGCCCTACTGGAGGTTAGGTCATTCGTCTGAACTTGGTATGCGTTGGTTGAGCTGACAACAAAGGACGAATCAAATTCACTACATTGTGTCAGCATGGCCTAGAACATTTTGTCTTGACAAATTTAACTCAGAAGTCTATGAATGGTTTCCATACAGGGAACGATTATATTCTCCTCTTATAAGGAATTCTGTTTATAATCATCCCAACATTTTCCATGTTTTGCACATCTGGCATAAATAAGCTATTTGAACAGTAAGAATGAACATTCAGAGAGCAAATAAATAATGGCCCAGTACATATTTAGAAAAATGATAGTAACAGAAATTGCAAGATGGGTCTAAGAGCAATTTGAAATCCTCAGAGATTTCATCATATTTTAAAACATTCATTGGAAAAAAAAAATAAAGGAAGGGAAGAAGATTTGGCTTTTTACTACTCCACATTGAACAGAGTGAGTTTGAGGAAATGAAAATGAAGGTTTGTAGTACAGAGAAAGGGTAGAGGTTTCTAATCTAGAAAGACAGTATTTTAGGTTAAGAATCAAACCACTTATTCATAACAGAAGTTAATTTTTAATACTAATGGGAAAAAACTCATTCTTGCCATTATTATGCAAATCAGTTCAAGTGATCTCAGAGGAATGGCAAAACTTATAAAAACATTAACTTTTTTTTTTACAGTATTTTATGTAAACATGGTACTCATTTAATCCTACATTATTATGCACGGGAATTATTTTTTAAATTACTTTGTTACATCTGTAACTACCTCCTAAACTTTAATCAACCTGCACCTTCAAGGCAAAGACAGATCATAAGGCTATTCTAAATGCTTTTAAAGCAATGGGTATCATTAAGAAGGAACACAGAGAGGGTTACAAGACAAAGATCTGGAAAAAGATGGCAAACTCTCTCAAGAAACTGAGGCATACATGGCAACACGAATTTAAAAGCTCAACCAAACTATTATAAAGACAAAGTGGCAGGAGTGCCAATTTTGGGGGTCACTGTTTCAAATCTAATTCTGCAGTTAGCAAACTTTTCTGTCAAGTGACAAACAGTACATCTTCAGGCTTTGCTGGTCATGTGGTCTGAGTCACAAAGCACTCGACCTTGCCATCACAGTAGAACCAATACCTGAAGAACAGGTGTGTCCCCATTCCACCATCGCTTTCTCTAGACAAACAGATGGCCTCAGGATTGTGCCCTGGGGGCCTCAGTCTGCTGAACCCTGATCTGATTCATAAATTCTAGGGATATACTTTGCTAAGGGGCATCCTCTCGAACCCAGGGGTTTACCTGACTTAATAGCTTTGTGTCCCATTTCTAAATCTCAGCAACTAAAGTACTTCTGTGTTGTGCACCCTTCCCAAACGGCAAAGGTAAAGAGCCCTGTTTTCAAAGACAAGTTCAATAAAGACCTCTCTGTTACGCCTTAAACCAGTAAGTAGATGAGAAGAGCATCTGAGGGAGAGGAAAAACAAAACAAAGCAAAACAAAACACACCTGTCTGTTGGATCTAAAGAGAGAAAAACTTCCAGGATTCCAACCCTTTCCTGATTAAATGCCTTCCACTACGATTAAGAAGACTGGCTGTATTTGCTCGATTTAATTTTCTTTCCATTACCTGTTGTTTTTATTTCTTTAAATTAGATCTTCTAGCCAAACAAAATATAATTTTTACTAGTTAAATGAAATTAGTGTCAAGTAATAGCTAGAAATCTTTAAGAGTATTTCTTGACCAGAGACTACTTGGCTAAGGATGGGGCTCGTGATTTCACTCTTCCATCAGACCAACTTCCATCCAAGGCCAGATTTCTACTTGGAAGGTGGGAGGAAATTGGTTTATTTCTATTGTTATAACATCTTTGGAAACTGGAAACATGTAAAAATACCAAAAAACAAAGTAATAAGAAAACTTTCCTCAACTGCTATCTCCCTTCTTCTCCAATCCTTATCCTTTATTTTCACTTATTCAAGATTAGATTTAACTGGTACAATGATGGCTTGGGGGGTAGTTGACAAATTACATAAAATAAAACTCAGCTCGGTTCAGAGGTAAATATGGTTCTGAGTAAAGAGAGAACAAGTCATTAGAAAGAGCCTTTCTGCCTAAGAACAGTGTTCCTGTTCATGCCAATGCTATATTCAGATACTGGTATCAGAATTCAGAGAGAATAAAAGGTACCTTTTAGAATGAAAACAGATTAATATACTTCCATCTCTCTTCTTTTGCTGGCAATATTGGGTAGCTCCTTTGCTATTAAGTGCCACTCAATGAATGAAAATGGTCCCAGTGTTTGCTATTTCATGGCATTTAAGTACTTAATGATGATTTAGCTCTGACTGCTAATGCAGTTCCCTTCACAAGGTGACATGTGCAAGTTAAGATTTGGTAATGAATTTTCGGCATTAGCTATAGTCCATTTAGTACGTCCCTAAGAGAGGTATCCTCTGTGCACACACCAATACAGCTATTCCTTAATGTAGATAGAACACTACTAACCCTATGACCCTACAGTGATGTTAGCTAAGGACTAGGACAATGTCACAGTGAACCTGAATAAGAACCTTGGGTAGTTATTTAGAATAATAATATCTTTTCTGGCTAACATGGAAATTGCTTTCAGAAACTTTTATCTGTTTAAAAGCTAGCCTGGCTTGAACGTTCACGAATTTCATGGCTCTGGGCTAAGCCAGTTAAGAGGTGAGAACCAGCAAACATGACTGTGCTGCTGTGGTCCCGGAAGACCTGGTAGCACTCTATTCACAGTATCAATACAGCAGAAACCTATGACAAATGAATGAAAAGGGACGTGAATCCATCAAACACTCACAGCATTTCCACATCTACTAAACAGCCCCGACTTCATTTAAAAGGTCAGTTGCTAATCCTCTGGCTGGAATACTGACCAATGCTGCAAAGTCTCTCTTGACAAAGTTGACTGCACTTCGCCTTTACAATTTGGTAACAGTTTAAAAAAGCTCTATTTCCTCACAGAAAAATCTAAGAAACTAACAAAGCATAAAGAACTTTCCAGCATACTACTTCTCACAAGTAGGATGGACTTAACATTTTTTTGGTAGGCTTGAAAGCTCCATCGACAGCAGCATATTCTGTCCTTCTCACACGCCTGCCTATTCGGTAATGGCAAAATCTGTCCACGGACAGCCTAGATGACCAGCTAAAAGGTTTCCCTATGGATTTTAGGCTAATTTCAAATCCACTTCTATGCCACAGAGCATAGCTGACCCCTAAGATGGCCCTATCGTGCTGTTGCCCAGCTGAAGAGGAGAATGCCCCAGTCTATGTCTCCGAAAGACAAAAGACGGCTTCCCCGGATTGTGTAAGGTAGGCTCTTATCACATGGTAGCATCATCCCATTCCTATTACAAGACGCATTTCCACGTTCTTCCAGAAGGGAAAATAACCACTCTCTAGGGACACGGTGCAGCTCTGTGTGTACGTACAATTCGCAGATTGCTCATGAGCTACGCTTTGCACTCTAACTTCCTGTCATCAAAGAAATGCCATTCTTTTCCACCCACCTTTCCACATACTACAAAGCATTCTCAGAAAGGGAGCACGCTACTAACGTTCTCACAGATGGCTCACCAGCGCAGGCATGACCAGCCCTGCCCCGGATCTCTTTTACAATCATCTATGCCTCCGCACCAAAATAACTCAAACCACTGCATATTTAAATACTCTTAAAACACTAAAGATCCATTAGGATACGCTATGGGTTTTTCTCTTTTCTATTTGCACTGTAAGCATGTCCTTGCCTGCACCCCTTACTAATCCTCCTCCATTCTCTGAATGCGAGACAGGGCATCTAAAACTCTACATGTTTGGTAAATTTTTTCTGACTCTCAGTGCTGGATTAGGAATCTCAGAAATCCCCAGAATTACCAAAAAGGTCCCTTGAAGTTTTAAAAATCTTAGGAATGATTAAGTAACCAAACCTGATCAAAACTGATCCTTTGATCAATTTATTGCAACGTGATTGTGCATGATGTTTTCTGGTGAATGCCCTGTAGTGTATTATTAAAAAGCAAAGCTCTTGGAGTCACCAGCAATTTGCTGATGGTGGGTTTATGAATTACTAGGTTTGCAGACGCGAGACATGGATTTAGTGAGGTTCTTCTATTGGCTTGAAAATATAAACTTTTACATGTGTAGAAGGAAATGGAATTGTGGTTGCAGTAAGAACCATAGTGTTGAATTTCTTCAACCACACTATTGCAGAAAAAATGTGTTTAAAACTTCATATAAAAGTTATCAAATATGGAGACCTGTAGATTTAAAAATACAGTCCAGGCTCATTTCACTGGAAAGTGACACTTTTTGATGTATAATATTGCTGTTATGTGAAAGGAGGAGCCACAGAGACTGGATGAAACTTTGGTACTCAGCCTAACACATTAATTCATCTGGACTAGAGCCATTTCTTAACACCCAAAGATATTTAAGCACTACGGGGTACAAATCCCGACCAGGAAGTGGCAGTGCTCTGTGCCATTTGACATTCGCAAAAAAACCCCACTTCCTTCCCTGCTCCCCTCTTTCTCAATAGGACACTCAAGCCCCCAAATGTAGCAGAACCTACTGCGAACACTCTGCTGCTCATTTCACTTCCAGTTGCCTAAAGTGCTTCAGGTGATGCTGCCCACACGACAACACGCTCCAAGATGGCGGCTTACAGGAAACAATCAGGCAAAGTGTCAGATGCCTAATCAGAGCGAAGGTAAGGTCTAACCTTTCAAAACAGTTAAGAACCACCAGGATACCTTTTTTTTTTCTTCAAATGTGAAACTGCATGTTCTGGCAGGGAAGGAAGAGGAGAAACGCCTCCTCCCTATTGCCGTCACGACTACTTCCTTCTCTCCTGTGGCTGGCTGGTTCAGATGACCAAGGCTCCTGCTGTTTTTTCAGATCTGGGCAATTATAGCCACCAGGATGATATGGACCAAAGTACAGTGTTCAAACATGACTGGTAGATAAATGACCATGTATCATTGTTTTGTTAAAAAACTTTTTTCTTATAAAGTTAACAAACCAAGGCTGTTGATCCCTGAATTAGAAAGTTGATTTGCTTGATTATTTTCCAAAGGATGAGGTGGGAAGGAGGAGGGGAAGAGCCTCTAGTGCTTCTGTGTCTGTTGCTCATCCTCTAGTTTGGCAACATCTTGGGCGCATCTTCCGATCTAGTGATGTGGCATTTTGTAAATCTAAGTACCAGCCCAGGGCCCTGCTGCTGGCTGCTGACGGCCCAAAGGGGAAGAGGGTCTGCCCCCTCCCCCTCAAAGTTTCAATCTGGCCCAGTGGTGGACACAGAGCCCTGGGCAGTTTCCCCAGGAGCAACTGTCTCTTCTTGAGAAGGTGACTCTTCCTCGGCTTGACCTCGAGATGTGACAGTTGTTTCAGGGGAGATACTATGAGGCCCCTCCAGGGGTATACAGCCAGGGTGGTTTTTGCGAAAGTGCTGATTCAAGATGGCCTGGAAGGGGAAGCTTTTGCCACAAACGTGACAGTGGAAGGGTTTGTTACCTGTGTGCTTGCGGATGTGATACTCCAGCTGATCTTTCCGGGTATACTTTTTGCCACACATGCGGCAGACAAATGGCGTGATACCCATGTGCAGGCGCATGTGGCGGTCCAAGCTCCCCTTCTGGTTGAAAGATTTGGCACAGTAGATGCAGGTGAGACGGGGGTTGTACCGGAACCACCGCTCAGATACTTCTTGCTCCCGGAGATACTCCACATAGCCACTTACTCCCATCATTGCGGACTCTTCTACCTGTGCCAGGTGAGGAAAGCAAGAAAGAACACTTATGCTTAAGTATACATATTAAGAGAGATCAAATCTCTTTTCACTTCTCATACTAAGCCATCTGCTAATTTTTAGGAGAGATCCAAACAGGAAAGTAATTACTACAAAAAACATGTAGTTAAAGATATTAACATAATACTTCAAAGAACAATCTTAGGACAGATTTCTTTCAAAGAGCAAGACAGTAGAGTTACTTGGGCTGACAACCAACCTGCTCATCAAACCCCTGCTGAATATCGTATTTTATAGTCACAGGAGAACCTTAGGCCAGTGGTGCCATCCTCTGGACTCTCAATGATCATGTAGGCCCTTAGGCAGTGCTGGCCCCATAGGACTTTCTGTGATGATGGGAATGTTCTATAACCTGTACCATCTCATGCAGTAGCTCCTACCCATATGTGGCTCTTGAGCCTTTGTAATATGGCTAGTTTGACTGAGGAACTGAATTTTTATTTTTAATTGTTTTCAGTTAATTAAAATTTAAAGTTAGTCACATGTGACATGACCAATGATAACAATATATGATGGCAGAGAACACATTATGTGTGGCAAACACATCATAAATTCTATTTGTGGCACTATCATTAACACCAAAATCTAATCCTGCAGTAACTACCTTTACAAAAGAGATACAATTTGTCAGTAACAATGTTCTTTACCCAAAAATATGTTAGTGCCATACTGATACATAGGATTTTCATTCTATTCAAACTGTAACTGACCTCAGAGCAAATTGGCAGAAGAGGTGGGAAAGGAAACAAGACTGAGATATGGATTTACTAACTCAATTATTCCTTCCTGTACCCTTTTCACAAATTGATACTCATTAAGTATTCACTGACCGTTGTCCACCAAAGACAATGACAGATAACTACAGAGAAAGAAGCATAAGACTCGGTTTCTGATTTTGCCCTTGGAACAAAAGATAAAATTTCTGAACAAAAACCAAACAAAGAGAAACAGGATCAATACATATTCCTCATGATGCTGCTTATTCACTTTTCAAACAGCTTACACTGAAGGTTACGCTGGCAATACGGCGCACAGATGTATTATCGTCTTGCTTTATACACCTGTTTGTAGTGGTTTTGAGTTGATTTAAACAGATTATTAAGATAGAATAATCTGGGATGCCTGGATGGCTCAATCAGTTAGCGTCCGCCTTTGGCTCAGGTCATGATCCCGGGGGTCCTGGGATCGAGTCCTGCTTTGGGCTCCTTGCTCAGCAGGGAGCCTGCTTCTCCCTCTGCCTGCTGCTCCCTTGCTTGTGCTTGCTCTCTCTCTGACAAATAAATAAAATCTTTAAAATAAAATAAAATAGGGTGGCTGGGTGGCTCAGTGGGTTAAAGCCTCTGCCTTCGGCTCAGGTCATGATCCCAGGGTCCTGGGATAGAGGCCCGCATGGGGCTCTCTGCTCAGCGGGGAGCCTGCTTCCCTTCCTCTCTCTCTGCCTGCCTCTCTGCCTACTTGTGATCTCTGTCTGTCAAATAAATAAATAAAAAATCTTAAAAAAAATAAATAAATAAATAAAATAAAATAGAGTAGAATAATCCGTGATGTATGTATTATCTCTCCAATCTCTCCTTTAAAACTATCTCCCTGCCAAAGTTAAACCTTTTATGTTGTGGTAACAAATATATATAAAACATTAAAAAAAGCAATTATTATAAAAGTAGCATTACAATGCTGCTGTCAATTACATCACTAACCCTTCAGATTACTGAAAAGAAAAGCTTTCCTTTTCTTTCTGATTTATTTTTCGTTATGAAGGTCAAAGTATACATATCTTCCTAACTTTTCATTAACAATTTTAGACAGAATGGTATGCTGAATCGTCAATCACCCAAAAATTATCATCCAAGGAAAATTTTTTCTTCTTTAACCTCACTTATTCCTCTCCTTTCCCAGATTATTATTATTTTTTAGAGTGAGCCGCAGGGGGATGGGGAGAGGGAGAGGAAGAGAATTTAAGCAGACTCCTGCACTGAGCATGGGCTCCATCTCATGACCCTGAGGTCATGACCCGAGCCAAAATCAAGAGTTGGATGCCTAACTGACTGAGCCACCCAGGTACCCCTCTCATATTATTTTTGAAGAAAATTCCAGACATAATTTCATCCATAAATCTCCTACTAATATATCTCTAAAAGACAAAGATTATTTTTCTTAATATAATCAAACTACCACTACCACCCCTAAAAAACCCAGTAATTCATCAATATCAATTAAAGACCTTGTTTTGTTTTACCTAATATGAACATTAACAAAGTAAATGGTTAAATTTTTTAATATATGAAATAAATAAGGGCTCCTCCTACCTGGAAGCTGAGAGTGGGAACAATATATTTCTCTTAATGAATCATATAAAAATCTTGGATTTACTTTTTATAACCATTTTTTGAAAGTTTATTACTATTACTTTTTTAGTTGGGGCTTGAACCCATGACTCCAAGATCAAGAGTCACATGCTCTTCTAACTGAGGCAGGCAGGTACCCCTAAACATTTTGGATTTATAAATGCTTTTCATTCAAAATTCTTTATTAAAATCTCACCATTCAGAAATTACTGATATTTTCAGTCTGCTGACTTCTGAAATATTACATGTATACACATAAATGCCATATATATAATGTAATGTTTTGAATAAAAAGCTTATATGTGTATATAAGCAGTATAAAAATGTATGAGGCAATTACAGATGTTTGGCAGAAGCTAATGTACCAATGCAAAGAGAAGACAATGCAAAAGTTCACTCTGGATTAACTGGAGAAAGACTCATCTAACTTGTAACTAACTCTGTGCCCTTTTCTTGAATTTCTAAAAATGAGTTTTGTCTCCTTTCACATATGTAAACTGACAGTGTCTCCAGCATTTCCAACAGAACAGAAGCAGTTCTCAGCAGGCTTGGGAAGCAGTATGTGAAGTCAAGTGTTGAATAGTAAGCCTGAGGTTTTAGATGATTTCTCATTTGTTTTATATAACATTTCTTTCTGCTCCATTTCCCTGGATAATCAAAACTGAACTCCTATAAAGAACGAAGGATTAGCCCACTAAAAGTTCCTGGACAAAGCACAGAATAACTTCTCTGAGGCTTAGTTTTCTCATCCACAAAATTAAAAGGTTAGTACATGTTCTGCCAGCTCAACAATTCTCTCAAGAGGATTCTCAGGAGAATCAAACACAATAAACATACCATGAAACATTCTGAGTGCATGTGATTACCCTGTGTAGCAATTAACAGTGCTGAAATGTGGGTTCAAATCTGAATCCTACTTAATGTGTGACCATAAGCAAGTTATGTAATTACTTCATCTGTTAAATGAGTATCATAACAGCATCTACCAGCTAGGTTGCAATGAGCACTGAATGAGTTAATATGCTAAAGTACTTAATGTAGCTAAGTAAACGTTAACTAGTATTAAATATTACAAACTTACAATACTATTCATAATCTCAAGGGTATCTATTCTCTAAAAAAAACCTCCTGCTTAACTTTAAGGAAAGTATCATACCAGTATTGTCTACAAGCAGAAAGTAAATGCATTTTAGTTATCTATGCTATCATTTTATCTTTTAAAATGTACTTAATTTTTAAGTCTTTTAAGTTATCCTTTTAAGTGAATTATTCCCTATAATGAATACATTTCTTTTTTTTTTTTTTTAAATGTTTATTTATTTATTTGACAAAGAGAGATCACAAGTAGGCAGAGAGGCAGGCAGAGACAGAGAGAGGAGGGAGCAGGCTCCCTGCTGAGCAGAGAGCCCGATGTGGGGCTTGATCCCAGGACCCTGGGACCATGACCTGAGTGGAAGGCAGAGGCTTTAACCCACTGAGCCACCCAGGCGCCCCTAGACTCAGCTCTTAATACCATCTTCAGATAGTATTACTTATTTGCTTTATAGCCTGTACCTTCTGCTTTGGTCAGGGAAACCCCCTTGCAGAACTCCGATTTTTATCCCTATCCCATCTACATACGAATAAGTTATCTCTTTCTAACCACTTCTTGAAAAAGTGCATTTCATCTCTCCTGAAGAACACTTTGCTATGGGGACACTGATTGTCAGAACTGGCTGTGAGCACTCCCGCTCCCCCAGCACTGCTCCTCAAGTAACTGCAGTCTTTCCTGCTGGTGTTCTGTGTATCTGTTAGTCTGTCTTACCCACCCCGGCGGTTGTAAGGCCTGTCCCACTGCTGTATATATTTGCCTCACAGTCACCTTCACAGGGTCACTGCCTCCTACCAGAGAGGTGAAGAGAAAATCCGGGTCCTAATTATATGAATGAAGTTACTTTTCCTCCAAGCTTGTAACATTTTCTCTAACACGTTATTAGAACCAAAAAACTATCTTCTAACGGTTACCTTCCTTTTCGGGTACCCTGGCATGATAACGTACAATAAATACAGTTTCTAACAACGTCCTACTGCTGTTAGTATACTGTGGACACAATAAACATCCAATGGTTTACATAAAAACTGAATAAGATACGATCATACAATGCAGAAGCTATCCAATCTTAAACCACCAGTGTTCCCTTTTAAAGAGCAAATATATTTACAATTTACTGTGTTCTACTTGGTAAGCGCACAATCTTTTGAAATATCAATCTTCAGTGATACAGACTTATGAGAACAAATAAACAAAAATACCAACTACTTACACTACTTGCTAGGGAGAGTTACAAAAAAGATGGAAAACATCATTCCTATCCTTTCTAGAACATTTTGGTCGAACAAAAGATTCCGGAAGGAAAAAAAAAAATGAAAAGATACCAGCATACAAAAAAAGCAATCACACACAAAAAGTGCATACACAATTTATTTACAAATATGTGCTACTATTTAAATCAGAAATTATGTAATATTACACCCACTCGAGTACAAAATCAGACTCTCTCCATCCCAGGTCCTAAATTACCTGCGTGTATTTTTCAGGGGTTATTTATATTATTTTCAGTCAGGAATACAGACTGGTTCCTATCATCAGGAAAGCGTTCCACAATCTCATCTTTTTTCACTTCCCAAACTCTGCTGCCAACAAACGTGTATTTCGTGCATGCTCACAAGCCAGAGCAAAGAAGAGAAGTAATCGAATACGGTAGTTAACAGGGCCACTGTTACCTTTCCTACATCGTTTCTTTCTTACTCGTTATGTTCTATTCACACGCAGTGGCACTTCTTCGACCACTGCAGCCGCCCTAAATCCATTACATACCTGGGAGCTGGGGGGCTTAGGCTCGTCCGTTCTCCCAGGAGACTCACTTCTGGCTCTGTGTCTCTCGGCCAAGGGAACAACACTGCCGGAGGGGCTAAATCTGTTGGAAGAGGAGCAAAAAGGGGACTGATAGACAAGTAGCATCAAGGAACTTCAATAGTGATGTCTATCCTTTTTATCCCATGGCTGAGGAAGGGGCAACAACCAGAAAAACAGATTACTAAGAAATACTTTCATCAAGTCAGTATAGGATCTGATCTGAAATAAGAAAGGTCTGCCTTAGTAAATTTAGCAAACACAAAACGACACAGCAGATAGGCCGCAGGGCCTGGGGAAACTAGGCTAAATGAAAGCTTCTAGCCGTAAGTACTGGGAGACGATATAAGCATAAATTAAAACTGGGTCTCCTATTTTGTTTCTTCTACATAACTATTAGGCTTTTGGTTGTTCCTTCCCCCAGTGCCCATAGTAACTTGTTTTATATTTCAGACTGCTGATACAGATCATGGAGATTAAAAATCTTTGCACCCAAAGCCATTACTTCTGATACAGTTTTGACAGTGGACACAGTGCTAACACAGGGGGCAATAAGTATTGTGCACAAGGAGATTTTAACTTTGAAGGATGCAAGAAGAGACCACCTATAATGGATACGGGATATGTTCTCTGAATTTCTCTGACACCCATGTCGCTTTCAAGACCAGGTGGGAACCAAAGTAACAGCTTCCTTAGTTTTCACTATTCACGCAATTTTAGTTTATTTTTTTCTTTTTTTAAAGATTTTATTTATTTATTTGACAGACAGAGATCACAAGTAGGCAGAGAGACAGGCAGAGAGCGAGGAGGGAGCAAGCCCCCTGCGGAGCAGAGAGCCTGATGCAGGGCTCGATCCCAGGACCCTGAGATCATGACCTGAGCCGAAGGCAGAGGCTTTAACCCACTGAGCCACCCAGGTGCTCCTTGTTTATTTTCAAGAGTGGAAAAAAACAAATGTTACCAATCTAAGTTGGTAATATTTCTTTCACCTGAGACTGTCTTTCAGTTTACTTAGATTAGAATTATTGCTACTTCCACCAAAAAAAAAAAAAAAAAAAGTTCTAACATCTGCAATATATTAGATAAAGTGAGGCATAGGGCATTTGTAGCACTGGTGGAAAATAGAGACTCTCAGGCTTGTGGTGCCAGCAGTCATCAATTAAAAAAAAAAACAAAAAACTGGGAAGATATTATCAAACGGCAAATGAAAAAAAAAAAAAAAAGGGAAAAGCATCCAAAAAAGTTTCTTTGGAATTACTGTGATTACACTAAAAAGAACAATCTGCGCTGGTACCATGCTGCCTCTAATTTGGTGGGTGGAGGCAAAGAAAAGTAAACAGTTCTACAAAGGAGAGAAAAAGTCCCCGAGGCCACCTACCTGTGTGATAACATACAACGGAAAGGCAAAGATGCCAGGCTCCCAGCTGATGATCAGCTCCCGGCCTGGAAATCCGAGGAGGCCCTGGCAATTACTGATCCTAGTGTGGCTGCAGCTGCTATCCTGATTCATGGAAGTGTCTAACTTTACCATAGTTCCCACAACACTGTGAATACTTCATGACTAGGAGCTTCCCGCTTAAAAAAAATAAGAATGCAAGTCTTTTGGCATGCCTCCAGATTCCCCAACATCAGCTTGTCTTGGCTAAGAACATCAAGGAAGATGCACTCTGTACCACACGGAGGGCCTGCTTCTGCTGTGTCTGCTCAACAGCGGTTAGATGAACAAGGAAAACAAGCCTTACCTGTCAATTTCACTGCTTGTTGGCCGAGCCACCTTGGCTCCCGAAGATCCTAAAGGGTAATTTTCCTGTCCCACAGAACCGTGGCCTGTGGTGTCAATCACCATGGCTGTGACTTCCTCTGCACTACTCCCATCTTCTCCGGAAGGCTGATTCTCAGGCCCGAGCCACTCCTCCAGATTCTCGGTTTTGATGTGTACAGCTCCAAGGACCCTGACTTCATCATCACTGCGGGCCCCTCGGTCTGCTACTCCTGTCTCCACGTACCACTGTCCTGCTCGGTTGATTCGAAGAATGGGCTCCCGGCTCTCGACATCAGAGCTCTGTTCAATTATCTGGGGGCTGGTGGACTCCTCGGGAGGACTGAGCTCCCTGATATCCAACACAGCGCTCACCTGACCTCGCCGGTTTCCCTTTGCGGTGTTATGCCGAGGGCTAAGGGAACGGTTTAGATTTGGTGTGACCCTGTGCGATTCTGGAGGTCTTTCTGGATGCTTTGTCCTCGTTTGACTTAACTCTGCTTCAACTTCTGCCACGTTAATTTTGAAATGAATGCTCTCCAGGATCTGTGTACATTTGTCGATAATATGCTGCATCTGCAGAAAACTGGCAGCCGTCAGGTAGCTGATGATATCTGCCAGTTGCAGGCATATCCGCCCCGTGTAACAGAAAGAGAGGAGCTGTTCAAAAACAGTGGGGTTTTTGATGACTGAAATGGAGACAGTACTCATCTCATTCAAGGACATGTGATCCCGGAAATAGGGTGAGCTGGCAGCCAGGACCACTTTGTGAGCCCGAAAAGCTTGTCCTTGCACGTTGACCACAATATCACAGAGGCGTCCCTGCATGCGCAGCTGGTTTAGATGGCTCAGGACAGAGTTGCTGAAGTCAGGGATCTCCAGTTGTATATTCCCACCTTTCTCCATGGTCGTGCCTGAGGGTGTAGGCAGGCATTCAACCCTGCTGAAAGAGGAAACCATAATCATCAGTAGTTAGCATTTCACTCAGGCTTTCCAATTCAAATCTATTTAAAACTAGTTGTGGGTAAAATTTCAAAATCTCCAAGTAAAAAGAGAGAAATTCCCTTACGTTTAGACATGGAAAAGAAGTACCAACAGGTTTTTCAAACACCCTTAAAACCAAAATGTGATCAATAGACTTCTATAAACTCGAGCTATTTCCACACGTCCCTTACTAATAACCTATGCAACATCAAAATATAAATTCAACAGGACAGAAGGAGCAAATGCAGTTGTGACAGTTCTTTTTTGTTGTTGTTCTTTGGTCATAAAGTATTTGCACACTGAATATAAAATCCTGCGACGTTTCTTTGGAGGAGAAAGTAGTAGTAAGCTCTTTGAATAAATGTAATTACACACAAATGAGTTGATTAGGTATCCCTCTTGTTTTGAATACTTTATTACAAGCTTCGAGAGTTAAGCTTACTATTTAAAAGGTCGCTAATAGCCCATAAGAATGCAAGCCACTATTTCTAAGCTTAAGAGTCAGAGTCCCCACCAAAAGGCTTTGGGTTTAGGGCTCTGAATCAAACTCGAGGTTAGGAAACATGCCACAGCTGTGTCAGAACTCACTGAAGATGCAGAGAACTTAAAGTTCACTCTCAGAATCAGGGATGAGTAGGTAAACCTACTTCTACCTAAATTCAAAGTTAGGAATTTCAGGGTGGTGATGATACGGATTCTAAAATTTCATTCCCCAAGACTGGTTAAAAAAGAAAAAAACAAACCAAAAAAAAAAAAAAAAACCAAAACCCAGATCATTCACCAAGCATGGTCAATATTTTTACATTAAAAGATTTTTAAAAAAGAACTGAAACACTATGCCGGTAACTGCATCCAATAGCCTTCAGTGGTTGAGAGTAGTTGGTCTAAATCTCCACAGGAAGACACTGACTACAGCCCAATGTTTCCATTAATCTGCAACTTTGTAAGACATTACACAGTTATCTTAAGATCTAAAATTTCAGGAACTTATCTTGACAAGCTCACAGTACAGCCCCGCGTTTACGACACACTTATCGGTAAGAAGGGAAGTGTATAACTGCTTTCAAGAACCAACTTTAGCCAATCTGACCTTTTTCCAAAGCGTTTTTGTTTGTTTTGAAACTTTTAATCCAATAAGAGCCTCTGTCGATGCCATCAGGAATTCAGATGTGTTTATTTTGGAGCCTACACCAGCGCCTTTTTTGTTTGCTCTTTCCAGCAATTCCCCAGTGAGGAGGAAGCCCCTGGAGTAAGGTCTTTACCGTCGGCACTGGAAGGGTGAGAGCTGTAAGAGGGAGAATCGGGAACGCCATGGGGCTGGCCACTCCGGTATCTGAGGGGCTTCAGCCTGCGTTAGGAAGCGTGGGTAGCGAGAACTAGCAGAAGGGCGAAATGTCACCGAGAAGCGGGGGAGCAGACGGGTGCAAGGCGCGAGGCTGGGGAGCGAGCAATCAGGTGAGGGCAGAGCATCGAGAAGGGGGCGGCGCCCCGGGACCCAGTCCAGGCGGTAAGCGTAGGCGGGCGGGGAGCTGCCCAGAGGTGGGTGTGTGTATCTGGGTGTGTCCCGGCTGCGGTGGGGGAGGGGGCGGCCCATCCCGGGGTCCTGAGGGAGGGGCCCGGCGAGGGGGCGGGTCCGGCAGCTCAGCCCGGCCCGGGGCCAAGGGGGTGGAAGGTCTCGGTGCCTTGAGGGTGGGGTGAAGGGGAGTGGCCGAGCGCCCCAGGAGCAGGCTGCGGCGGAGCCCGGACAAGGCGGCCCCGGTGCAGGGCAGCGGGACCGGAGTGCGGGGCCCGAGCCCAGTCAAGGAGCAGCACCTACCTCCGGGGGTGGAAATGGGCCGGAATGGGCCGGAACACCGTCCCGGAAGTGAAACCCCCCACCCCCTCCCCCGGAGCGGGCGACGTGCCGGAAGGAAATCACTCACCCTTACACCGCCCCCCTCCCCCTCCCCCAGCGCTTTCCGTCCCTCGCGCCCCCTCCCCTCTCTTCCTTCTCAGTCGGTCGGAGGGCGGGAGCCCTGAGTCACGCGGGCGGCCGTGTCTCCGCCCGTAACGGCGAGGTGGGCGGGGCAAAGAGGAAGGAGGTGTGGCTAGAGGCGGAGCAAGAGATGGAGGGGGGGGGAGGAGCTGAAGCGGGCGCTGGCGGGGAGGGTGCGTCATGACGTCATGACAACCCATCCTTATATACTAGCGCCGGGACGCCATCTCGGTCTTTCGAGGTTGGGAGTTGGCGCTTTCCGTGTAAGTGTCGTTTTGGCGTAATGGCTTCTTCGCTCGAGGCCTCCAGCTCTTGTCAGTTCAGTTCACCTTATGCATACATGTATTTCTCGGCCGGTCGCGATCCTTTGCAGGGTTCACAGGATGAGATGGTGGACGATTACGCCTTGGGTGCGGCCGCGGCCTAAACTGCTACTCGGGTTGCGGGGGCTGAACTGCGAGAAACCCCTGGGCTCGCGTTCCCTGCCTGTGATGAAGTCTGCGTTGGTAGGGACATCTGAGACTGTTGATGAATGCCAACGGCTCTGATGGCGGCGCATGCCGAGTCACCCGAGTGGGCCTTTGTTAATGACCTGGGCCCGGGCCGCCTCCGGCCTTTTGTTGAGGAAGTCCGGCGGATGGGGTAGTCCACGTGGTGCCCATCGGCTGCCTTCCGCGGTGCACCGTTACTTACGTCGTGGCGCCCCACGGTGTGCCGTGCGCTTTTTCTAACCTGTGAAGTGCACCCTTAAAGTCATGAAATGGTGGCTGGTGTAGGACACATGGTAGGAAAATGACATGCTTAGACTTACTAGATCAAAGTGGTGTCTTAAAAATGCTGATCTTTTCCGTAGGAATGGTGCCGGACACGAATGCAGTGTGGCTTTTGATGGCTTCTGATGGACAGGTCAGAAACGGGTAAACGCCGTGGTAGGAATCAGATCTGCTTGGAAGTGGTGGTTTTGTTAAGCCCGTGATGGTTTAAGAGTAGTGGACAGAAGGGATTTCTGAAAAATTCTGCTGAGGCTTAAGTAGTTAGAAAGTTGGTCATTAACTTGGCCGCGCGGTGTGTTTCATTGGATATTCCTTGTCTGTTTTCTAGTTTCGTGCTGAAGGGGCGGAAGTGGCTGGCAAGGTAAGTTACTGAAATTTTCTCAGGGGAAGTTAGGTTGAAAGTGCCACAATGATGACATTTATTTGCTACTCTTGACCGTGAGAATGATGAGAATTATTACCACCTTTACACTAACTGAGGCACACAAAAGGGTGATTTAAAGAATTTATAGATTGCCACTAAGTTTACGTGAAGCTTTTTCTTCCTAGATCCTGAAGTTAAACACCCTGGCTATGGGCAGGCAGGTGAGAAACCTTTTATATACTCCATATTTACTCCGTACTTTTTTTTCCTTTTTCTTTTTCTTTTTTTAAACAAATGTTAACTTCTGTACTCTGGTATCTTCTATTAAATGCTTGCGGAACTTGCAAAACATACTATGATGGTTGCATAGTTCAGCAGATTGGATCATGAAGAGAGACACCATTTGTCTGATGTATCTGAGTTGATAGTAAAATTGGTTTGGTATAATAGCATAAGCAAAATGTCACTAACTTTATCCTTTTCTGTAGGCATTACACAGAATGAGATGGAAGTTGGAGGGGTGAGTACAATTTACTTTGAACTAAAAACATTGGTAACTGGGCATACATGACAAAGAATGTCACTAATGGCTTTTTAGCATTGCCTTATGCACAGAAAGCACTCCTACCATGAAATGCTTCAATGCATTAAATAAAGGGCCAGATCCTGTCCTGTTACCATTAGCTAGGACACTGTCATTTGTAAAAACCAGCCTGTATGATGATAAGCAAATACTGACTGAACATGAAGGTCTTAATTAGCTCTACCTGATATCAGGCATTTATAGATTTGTGAGAGAAAAAATTCATTTTTTGTATCTTGCTAACTATTATTATTTCTTAGGTGGACTTGAGTCTTTAACATGTCTGGACAGACCAATTATGGGGTAAGTAATTAACATTTAGTAGGTCCAAAACTACTCTGAATGCTGAAGGATAATGCTTAACTACCAAGTTAACTAGTTTTGTGGCTGGTCAGTGAATGCATGTTGAGCATGTTCTCAGCAGGGTTTTTGAAATGATGTTGATCAAATGTCTGACCTGAAATGAGCATGTAGACAAAGTTAACACTGAAGAACCCTGTACAAAAACTCTGAGAAGAATTCGATGATGATTAACATTTTAATAAAATGTCTTTTTTCTTTTCTAGCTTACAGGCCCCTATCATGGATGGCTTGCTTGGGGTAAGACATGAAAACAGCTTGTTATCTGAAGTCTGGTCTGTATTTCTGAAATACACTGTGTTAAGTGTTTTCTGGTGTTGAGAGGAGGACTTGGCTATTGTGACATGTGTCTAAAGCAGTATCTTTTTGTTAGGTGCTGAGTTTGAAGAACTTTTTATATAAAGGTATGTATTCTAGTGATCTTACTTGGTTACTAGGAAGATGCTGTTAGTGATGATTTTTGAAATTAAAAACAGATGGGAATCTCTCTGAAAAAGAGTGAAGATTTTTGAAAACTGAAACAGTACTGGGAAAACTTCAAAAACCTACTTAATATTATTTATTACTAAGTTTGACTAAATTTCTGCAGGTATGAAGAGTTGGGGCAGCTTACAAGGCCTGGAACGGGGAGTTTAAGCCAAGGTACAGAAATCCCAAGTTTGGTTTCTGTGGGAAGTGTTAATTTAAAGCCGATACAATGATGAAACCATAGTTCAGCAGACTAGCAGTGATGAGCAAAATTGTCTTTCGCTCCTATCTGATGTATCTGGCTGCAGCAATCCTATCCATACCCTTGAAAAAGAAAATTTAAGACCTTTTTACCACAGAAAATGTTCAGGTTTGGATACTATAGTGGCTCAAACACAAATAGTTCTAAGGATTCACAACTGGAGAAATGCAGTCTGATCTATTTTTGCCGGGAAGTTTTTTGTTTTTTTTTTTTTTTTTATTTGACAGAGATCACAAGTAGGCAGAGGAAGTCAGAGAGAGAGGAGGAAGCAGGCTCCCTGCCAAGCAGAGAGCCCCATACGGGGCTCGATCCCAGACCCCCGAGATCGTGACCTGAGCTGAAGGCAGAGGCTTTAACCCACTGAGCCACCCAGGTGCCCCTGCCAGGAAGTTTTTATGGCATATAAATCTGAATAGATTAGGCCAGGATGAGTTATTTAATAAACTTCATTTCCAGAGCAGTTTTAGTATTCCCAGCAAAAGAATGTAGAATTTCTGTGTATCCTGTCTTCACACACTTCACCATCAACATTGGACACTGGAGTGAGACTGGCTACGATTACGAATCTATAGTAGATGGTTCTCAACAAAGTCTAGAGTTTACAGTAGGATTTACTCAGGGTGTTATATGGTGTATGGGCCTGGACACTGTAGGACACCTACACAGTTGTCATAATGTGTGGAATGGGTTTGCTGCCCTTTTCTCAGAAAGTTAAAAATGGGAAGAATTTAGAACAAATTTTAAATGAAGGACTTTTTTTCCTCCGTATTCAAACAGGCCGACTTGTCAACCTGAAGATTTAAAGGTAAGTTGGTCTCTGGTCTGTGTGGGAAGTTAGAATGTAACCAGTGATGTAGTGATTCTGCCAAATGAATTAGAATGATATCACTCCTAAAACCGTTCCATTTTGATTCTGAGGTTACTTTATTGACAAGTATCACAATGTTTTTTTGTTTTTTACCATGATTAACTTGGAATTGTTGCTTTTAGGGCAGTTATGCGAGAGCAGCAGTCCAGTTATGAGAGCAGCTTAACAGTTAAAAGGTGAGGCTTGAAAACAACAGTACTGTTGCTGTCTTACCTCAGAATACATGATGATCTCACTCCAGCTTGAACTCTCTCACTGATCACTTGATGATTATAAAAGATCTGATGTTCTGTGTACTCAAAATATCATTAGAATTGGAACACAGAAATGTGACTAAAAATAGCTTCTTTGTCCTTGCAGGCACCTGAATGGATGCTCATGGGATAGAAGAAGAAATCAATTTCAATAAATTCTTACGAACCATCTGATCAAGAGTGCTTATTTCAATTTAATGGGATGAAAGAAGGGAAATAGGACACCTTTGAAGTTTAAGACCCTGTGACAGTTTAAGTAATGACCTTTTCATGTGTATTTTACAGGATGTCCTGGGTTTGAAAGTAAAAGCAGAGGAATGTACTACAGCCTTTTTGTTTAGAATACTGTATTTGTGTTGATTTAGAACAGTGACATGACCTGGGATGAGCTGTATGACTTGCAGAAATTTTCTAGGGCTGAATGAATCCCTGTCGGCAAAATACTTGCTATTGCACACCACGGTGATGGGTCTCTTGGAAGTGTTGATACATTGTATTAGGAAGTGTGGGAGGCCGCAATAAGGCTTGAGACGAGGACCAAACCAGGCCCTCACTTGTGCCTCCTTTAAAGTCCGAATACCCTAACAAAAGGTTTAGGACGGGAAAAGTTGAGTAGCACTGAGAAAGGGTCTGTGCTATGTGTTGTGCGCTTGCCTGCCTGACTTCCCACATGCTTGCTAAATAGAGAACAATTCGGTTGGGGTCATAAGTTCATTGCTGGTCCTTGCTGCCCTAGTACAGCCCATAAATTACTTTCAGGTTTGCTGTATCAATATAGAACAACTGTACTGGCATCAGCCATTGGCATCACGAGGTCTGCTTATAGTCAAATGTGAAACTTATTACGGGAACTCGTGGTGGTTTAACTAGACATAGGTGTATTGCTTCTCCTATTGTAATATCACTATATGGCCTTAATGCTTTGAATAAACTTAGCACCTCCACAGTGCTCCTCCTCAGTGCTCCTCCTGCCCCCATCTCTCTGAGTTCTTTTCTTCATCCTCTTACCCTCACGTTCCTGGTCAATTTGTCGCACCGGCCGCAACAGGGAAGGGACTCCCATTATCCCCCACCCCCATACATAATTGAAAGAAAGCCTAAAAATATAGAATAGATTATAACAATGAGGTCAGTAGTGCTGGGGTTATTCCAATATCCTTAAGAAAATAGGTACTTAGTAGGAGTGCTAATTTTGCAAATGGAAATTGGAGTTTTGGTCATTAAGGAGTAGTGGTAGCTAGTGGGTTCCCAGTTACTCCCTAAATTCCTAAGGAGACTGCTCCGGCTTCTGGAAACACAAGCCTTAGATTTAGATATTCAGAATCCACTCAGCATTTAGTACTTGAAGTTGGGGGCAGGACACAACATGATACATGGATTACAATTTTATTTTAGGACAACCTACTTACTAGACTGAGGATGCTGCAAATCTGGATATAGTGTGACTCCAAATAAACATTGGGGTCTGATGGTGTGTTTTGAGGCTCTGAGTAAGAAAATTTGGTTTTGAGCTCTTGGCTACAGTCACATTGACATCCATACTTAATGTTCCTTCTACAGGAAGGCACGAATTTAAGATGGTCTTTCACATCCTAAGTAGGCAGAGAGGCGGGCAAATGCGGGGGAGAAGCAGGCTCCCTGATAAGCAGAGAGCCCCCTGTGGGGCTCAATCCCAGGACCCTGAGATCACTTAACCCACTGAGCCACCCAGGTCCCCCAGGAAGGTATGAACTACAGATGGGATTAGTTCTATCTCAAATTGTGACTGGATGCCTAAAGATCCCAACAATGAAATCACGCAGCAATCTATCATGATAGTCTTATGGCTCAATGACAGCCATTAAAGTGAATTCATATGAGGCTGGTTGAAAACTTAAGTGAGGACTAATGGCAAATCAGAAGAGATAGCTCTAGTATACTAGGAACACCAATCCTGTCTTATTTAACAAAACTTGAGTTTCTGAATGTCTATTATATGCTAAAGGTATTAGTTAATCCTTACCATGACAGCAAGTGAGCAATTTTCTCCATTTCACAGATAAACAACCATAGGCTAAAGTTGCCAGAGGCCACACAGGTAGCAATGTCAGAATATACTATAACGTTAATAATGTAATGGGTAGAATTTGTACGCTGAAGGATAATTCTCTCAGAGGGCTGGAAGGGAGGGCCAAAACCACTAGAAGAAATACTACAGGGAAGGAATATTAAAGGTCTTGGCATCTGGTCTGAAAAGTCCCAATGTGTACCTAGAGTTGCTAAAGCTGGCTTGACAGAAGATTGACAAAGACTTAGAGACTTTATGGAACAAAGGGCTCCCCAAAAGTAGGGCTGGGCTGATTTTTAAAAAACGAAAACCCTAATGTGACTTGAGCCTCTGGCATTGGGTGGGAGCTTGGACTCCCAAGTTATGAGGTGCCTTCCAATCCTGGGAACCTGTAATCCTCTAACTTATCACCTACCATTTACATACTGAGGGAGGTGAGGGATGGGCGTTGTAGGGTACTGTTCAGTCACCAGTAACTCCAGTTTGAATAACTGATTCCCACATTGATACTTCCAGTATCTGATTTGGCCTCCTGGAAAAAACACCCATTACTGAGTGATGACCCATGTAAGTGATTTTCATAGAACATAATGGAAATAGCCCATTAGTGGACCCCACCTTGCCAGAAAGCCAACAAATGGTAGTTCTAATTTAGTACATGATCTGTTTCACTAATTGTCCTGCCAAAAACACAAAGTAATTATGTTCTCGAGCTGAAAAGCTGGGTTCCAGAGTTCAAAACTAGTGCTTAATTATCCTTCAAATGTCACAGCTTTTAAAACAGCTAAACGAGCTTTTTTCATCTTTCAAGAAGCTGTACATTTATGTATTTTAAAGGGATCCTCATGCTCTTGAAAATCCCTGAGGCTGGAAAGGATAAACTTACGCTTCCTTCTTCCCTCTTATTCCTGGTGTAAAGGGAGAGAAAGTGTTGGGGTATTGTGCTGCACACATGATAAAGCTGAGACTGGACTTGGGTTCAACTTTCCTTTGATCTTTTCATCCTAAGCCATCCCAGAAAGGAGCCCAAGGCAGGGCCTGAACCCATGACCCCGGGATCAGAAGCTGAGCTGAGATCAAGTCAGCTGCTTAACCGACTGAGCCACCCAGTTCCCCAAAGCTAGCAGAAACACCTGTAAATACAGAGAACCAACAACGGACCGCCAGGGGAGGGGGAGGGGCAAAACGAGTGGAGAGCAGCAGGAGGTACAGGCTTCCAAGCAGTGCTGGGGACATACCGCAAAGAACAATTCAGGCAAAACCAATCCCTGCCCTCATGGAGCTTACATTCTATTGAGGCAAATAAAATACAGTTGGTCAGGTAATGTGATTAGTGCTACAGAGGAAAAACGAGGCAGGGAAAGGAGGGCAGAGCATGCTGGTGGGTGGCAGGAGCTCACTTGAATATCATTCTCAAAAAGGGAGTACGGGAGCAAAGGCTTGAGGGTATTATTAGGGAGTGAACAATGCAATTATCTGGAGAAAAAGTGCTAGCTGGCAACTAGGGCAAAGGCCTGGACACGGGCTCATGCCTGGTGAACACCAGTGTGGATGGCACACGGGGAGCTCAGGAGATGGTCAGCAGGTAGCAAGTGGCAGGCTACGGAGGACTCTGGAGGGCACTGTAAGGACTTTGGCTTTTCTTTGAGACGGGAAACCACTGGAGGGTTTTGAGCAGAGGAGGGAACCTGACCCTTAACTGACAGACTGCGGAGGGGTAAGGACGCAAGCAAGATTGTTAGGAAGCTTTTGCTGTGGAAGATGGCCACCTGAACCAGGGTGGTAGCCTGGAGGTATGAAAGGATCAGATGCTGGGAATATTTTGAAGGTAGAGCTCACAGACCTTTCAGACACGTTTCTCCAGATCTGGGTCTGACCAAAACACAGGACTACTTCGTGTTTACAAGATGACTCTGGAATGTCTTGGAAAAAGAACGTTAGGTGATAATAAAGCAACCTTTATGTGGCACTTAACAATCAGGGACATATGTCAGAGACTCTATGAGGCACTTAAAAAAAAAAAAAAAGATTTTTTTGTCAGCGCATGCAAGAGCACAAGCACAGGGAGCAGCAGGCAGACGAAGAAGCAGACTCACCACTGAGCAAGGAGCCTGAAGCAGGGCTTAATCCCAGGACCCTGGGATCATGACCTGACACTTAATCAATTGAGCCACCCAGGCGCCCCTATATATGCTTTTAATTCCCCTCCAAATTTGCCTAGCTATTTTTATCATTTCTTATACCCCACTCACACATTTAATTCCCTTTTATTTCTATAAATGTATGTTTTGTTGTCAAGATCTGATAGGTCCCAATACATTAAATATTTGCAAATCAGATCCTGGTTGTGTGTCTGCTGATAAAGTCTCATTAGTAGCTTGTTTCCTTGGGTGTTTTTTGCCACTTTGGAAAACAGTGTGGAGATTCCTCAAAAAAATAAAAATAGAGCTATCCTATGACCCTGCAATCACCCTACTGGATATTTACCCCAGAGATACAGATGTAGTGAAAGGAAGGGCCATATGTACCCCAGTGTTCATAGCAGCAATGGCCACCATCGCCAAACTGTGGAAAGAGCCAAGATGCCCTTAGGTGAATGGATAAAGAAGATAAGGTCCATGTATACTATGGAGTATTATGCCTCCATCAGAAAGGATGAATACCCAACTTTTTTATCAACAGGGAAAGGACTGGAAGAGATTATGATGAGTGAAATAAGTCAAGCAGAGAGAGTCAATTATATGGTTTCACCTACTTGTGGAGCATAAGGAACAACATGGAGGACATTAGAAGGAAAGGAAAAGTGAACTGGGGTAAATAGGAGGGGGGAGATGAAGCATGAGACTATGGACTCTGAGAAACAAACAGGGTTTTGGAGGGGAGGGGGGCAGGGGGCTGGGTGAGCCTGGTGGTGGGTATTATGGAGGGCACGGATTGCATGGAGCACTGGGTGTGGTGCATAAACAGTGACTCTTGGAACACTGAAAAAAATAAAATTAAGATGTTAAAAAAAATTGTGAGATTGATGTTCCTTGGAACTTCATCTTCAGCAATTCTTTGAGAACCAGGTTTAAGTTGTTTTCTTTTGCATTTGCTTTTATCAACCTAGGAACACTATGAATCTCAGAAAGTGTTCAAATCTCTGTTAAGTGTCAGCTTGTGGCTGTTAATGGCCAGAGCAGATCCCCAGAGTCAAAGCAAACAGAGACAAGTTTCTTTGTCAATCACCCCCTACTGAGGGCGTCTCCCTTCAGGAGCTTGTTTTACATGGGCATCGCTTATCTAACTTCTTGATTTACGCAGGAGGCAGTAGGTTTCGTTTGCCCGTTTCCCCCTGTGATCCATCAAAAACGACTAGGTCACACCAGATCAGCAGTACCCCAGGACATCAACAGCTTCAGCACCTAATTACATCAGCGTCAGGGACATTTCTGGTCTCTAAGGAGCTCCCTTACTAGTTCATTTATGCATATAAAACGATTCA